TGCTTCCCGTAGAAGTGGACTGCCATTCACTGTTTCATTGCAGTTCTGGAGTGCAGTTGTTGTGGTTAGGTGCCTATGAATACAACTCATAGTGACCCTGTGAATGACAGCTCTTAACCTTGCCCTTCCCTCATCTCTGGAGTGCTAATAAGGGAATTGGCTCAGTCGGGTTCCACCCATAGGAGGCAGTGTGGTGCAACATCCTTCAGGTCTCACTGTTAACTTACTGACTGGACAATTGACCCAAGACAGATCTCTGTGAGGCTCAGTTTCCTCGTCTGTGCAATGAGATTCTTACCTGGTCGGGTTGGTTAATAGAGAAATTAATCACACTTTGGCCAGTAGTGCCAGATTAAATACAAAGAAGTAAATTAGTTCTCAGCGTGGGACAAATGAAACTGAAAGCCATGCTAGGTAAAGATTATGTTGCCACTGATAATTCCTTCATTTGTACTCTCCACACTGTCAGGATGTAAACAACCAATGCAAAAATTGGTTCTCAGGGTAGTGAACTAAAAGCCTTGAAGGAATGTGAGGATGTAGGTTTGAGATAAGATCAGCAAATGCAGTGACTGGGGAGAGGGATCAGAGCATTTAGTACTAAAGTTGATTCACTTTGATTAGGATAGTAATGTACTGTACATTTTCCACAAAAGCCTAACCAAGGAGTACACTGTAGAAGGAATTCAGGTCCTTGGCAGTCTGCATCTTTGCGCTGGCTGGGAATTTCTGTAGTTTGTTTCAGTTTGTGATGTTTTCTCGTGTAGTATGGTGGTATTTCATTCTCAAGTGCTGTTTCAGATTTCTGTCCTTGCTAAGTTTCTTGAATGTGGATATATGTGTTTCTCCATCCCTAAACAGATCTGGCAGGGGACAAATGTTCATATTTCCTGTTTCAGGTTAAACTGCACAGAGTCGCCACCATTTTTCTGGTACAAGTTTTGAGATTCTAAATTCCTAACCTTCAGTTCTTTGCCTTTAACATGTGGGAGTTGTTTTTGCAAAACAAAGGGAGAGACAAGATCCAAGAAATTTTCTGACTTTCATTAACACATCCTTTTTTATTGAGGAATGTGCCTTTGTTTGGAAAGCTTTGCCTAAGTCAAGACATGAATGAATTGCACCTGTGTGAAGTGACTTATTTAAGAGTTCATAACCTCCCAGTGGTAGCACTGGAAATGAGGTCATCTTTACTTTTTGTTAGGGGTGAATGAAAGTTAAAATTATTAGTTGGAATATCTGCTGTGTGGCATTGCTTCTTATTAAGGTTGTAAGAATTGGAAGTTTCACCGTCATTTTTGAAGATAACGTCTATTTTTTATAATGCCCTTTGAGGGTTTGTGTGTGTGTGTGAGATAAATTAAAACAACTCAACTAAAACTAAATGCCTTTAAATTGGTTCTGACTCATAGCTGACTTCATCTAGTTTCCAAGGCTATAAATCACAGTGAGAGGAGATTGTCCAACTATGTCTCCAGGAGCTGCTGGTGGCTTGAACCACTGACCATGCCAGGAGAGCTCCCTTTATTTGGGTGTCAATGATCAGTAGTTTTAATAAGTTAACATTTTCTCATTCACTATAGGTTGAAATTGATTTGCTGGCATTTAACTACCACAGCATAAGTATCTCTACTTACATTGAAAAAGCCACTGAAAAATGGCATCATCCTGGCCTGAAATGGTTTAGGCTTTCATTGCCATTCCTACTCGTTAGAACAAATGAGACAATTTATTAAAACCAAAGAATTTTCTAGAAGTCTGAAATCAACTTTAATATACCTAAAGTTTTTTAGTTTCATGATTTGGGGTAGTTCTTTACAGATCTTGTTCTAAAAAATGACTGGGTTGGACTAATTATCTGTCCATTTCCTTTATATAATATTTTGGAAAAGGAGTAGGTCTAAAAAGAGACATCACATTTTTAGATCATCTTCATTTCTACACCATGTTGTAGAAGAAGAACAGGTATTGGCGTGATGATAAAGTGTCTGGGTTGTGGGGCAAGGACATTGTTCATGTTTGTTTTTTTTTTTTAAATAAAATTTCTCTTTTATACTGGTTTGCTTACAGAGTTCATGTACATTGTTTTTCATACCAGATCTTTCCCATTTCCTTTCCCCACCCCTGCCTCCACCCATCGGATCTGCAGCCCTATTATTACACATCTCCCCTGCCCAATCCTCACCCCTCTGCTCACATCCTCCCCACCTTACATCCTCATACACATTTTACTAGTTATCTATTTGTATAACAATGATCTTGTACACTATCCTTACGGGATTTAGTTAGTTCATTTAGCATCATGTTCTCCAGTCCCTCCCGAGTTAAGTTGTCATTTTCAAAGTCATTGCTTGTACATGCTGCATAGTATTCCACTGTGTGAATGTACCATAATTTCTCAATCTGTTCATTTGTGGTTGGACATTTGGGCTGTTTGCCATGTTCTTATGATGGTGAATAACACTGCTATGAACATTGGTGTACAAGTCTATATTTGTGCTTCAGTTCTCATTTCCTCGGGATATATTCCAAGCAGTGGAATAGCTGGGTTATATGGAATTTCCGTGTTCAGCTTTTTTGAGGAAGTGCCAAACTGCCTTCCAGAGTGGTTGTACCATTTTATAATCCCACCAATAAGAGTTCCGTATCCTCTTCAATGACGTTTATTACTTTGTAGCGTAAGAATGTTGTTTTGTTTAAAAAAGAAAGAATATTGTTTTGATACGTTTATGGTCCCATTATCTGAGGAGATTTCACATTCAGAGAAGGGTTTACTTCTTATTTCCCCCAATAGCTGTCTCCGATCATATTTCATAGATAGGTCCTGAGTAATTTGTCAGCTGATGTTTGTTTATAGCACAGACATGCATCGATAGCCACCAAACTAGATTTTATTTTAACCCAGAAGTTTAAGTACACTCTAGTCCTTAGACAATAACAGTGTAGACATTTAAAAACCACTTAGTGCATTATCCTGTTTCAGTGAGTAGATTAGACATGGTGGTTGGTAAATGCTGTCAAGTTGACTCCACTTCATAGGGATCTTAGAAACGAACAAAACCTACTCCCTCCTGGACCAGCCTCACAATCCCTTGTGTGCTTAGTCCATTGTTGCAGCCTGTCAACTCATAGGGTCCCCCATTCTTTGGTTGACTCTGCTTCTCTAAGCAAGATGCCCTTCTGCAAGGACTCCCTGATTGCATGTCCAAGGTATGTGAGATGACGTCTAGCTATCCTCACTTAGAAGTTTAATATGGTAAAACTGTGTTAGACATCTAAACCGAAAACTGTTTGGCCCCCGGGACTGCTCTATACCCTGTGCCAATCACCCTGGCTTAGGAAAATCACTTAGGAAATGAAGGTGGTGGTTGTTGTTATGTGTCATTTAGTCGCCTGTGACTCATACCGTATGTACAACAACCCTAAACCCCGCTCTATCCCTTGACAATCTTATTTTCTCCAACACAACTTTCCCCATTACCCCAGTCACTGAATCAATCCATCTCATCGAGGGTCTTCCTCCACCCTCCCAAGCATGACATTCCTCTCCAAGGACTGACCCTGCCTTGCAGCATGCCCAAATTATGTCACATGAAGCTTCAGAGTCCTTGCCTCCAAAGAGCAGCCAGGCTTCACCATCTCCAGGATGAACTTGTTTGTTCTCCTAGCAGATGGTATATTCAGTACTCTTCACCAACACCACAGCTCAAAGGCATGTATTCTCCTTCTATTATCCCTAGTTATTGTCCAGCTTTCTGATGTATAGCAAGTAATTGCAAAGACTATGGCCTGTATCAGGTGCACCTTAGTCTCCAGACTGACATCATTGCTCTTCAGTACTTGGAAGAGGTCTCTGATAGCAGACTTTGCCAGTGCAATTCGTCTTTTAAATTCCTGGCTGCTGGCACCGAGAGTGTTGATTGTAGAGCCGAGCAAACTGAAGCTGTTAACAATCACAATTTCTTCACAGTCTATCATGATGCTGCCAATCGGCCCAGTGGTGAGAATCTTCGTTTTCATGATGTTGAGCTTCAATCCATATTGAAGTCTGCAGTCCTTGATGTTCTGTAGCAAGTGCCTCAGGGCCTCCTTAGTTTCAGCAAGGGTTGTGTCATCTGCATAATGCAGATTGTTGATGAGTCTACCTCCAATCCTGATGTCACACTTTTCCTCATAAAGCCAAGCCTCCTGAATAATCTGTTCTGCATATAGATTGAAAAGGTATGGAGGTAGGACACATTCTTGGCGCACACCCTTCCCAATTTTGACTTATGCAGTGTTTCCTTGCTCTGTTCTGACGACTGCCTCCTGGTCCAAGTATAGTTTTCGCATAAGCACATTTATGGGATTCCCATTCTTCTCAAGAGCCAGCCACAGTTTGTTGTGATCAACACAGTCAAGTGCCTTTGCATAGTTAATGAAACACAGATATTCCTCTGGTACTTTCTGCTTTCAGCCAAGATCCATCTGACATTAGCTATAATATTCCTAGTGCCACGGCTTCTTCTAAACCCAGCCTGCACTTCAGGCAGTTTTCTGTTAATGTGCTGTTCAGTCATTTTTGGATAATCTTCAGCAGAATCTTGCTTGCATATATAATGTGGCTGTCTACTGCCATTTCTCATGGTGCAGGAAGGATAGTGTACAAGGATAGCAGCCTCTTGCTTCTAAACCCAAAGGTGCAATAGAGATTTTTTTATGTGTGGAATTAGGCACCAAAGCCATCTTCTTGAAAATATATACTGAGTAGTGTCTGGAGAGGTCCCCACTAAGCTGGATTTGATGGCATTTTTCTGGAATAATCAACTGGTAAGGATGCTCTTTCTGAATTGTATAGCCCACCATGTAAAAGTCCATGCTTGTGGAGAGAGGAGTTGGTGACACTGCTAATTTGCTTACTTCACCTGAGCCCAGAAGTGAGTAAATGGACATTCAATAAAAACGAAGGGATAGGAGTACTGTGGCTAGGATTTTAATGTCTCTGCTTTCTCTTATGTCATCCGCAGCGGCCACTGCTTGATGTTCTGTGACTGAGGACCCAGCTGTTGAACTTCATTATTATGCCATTGGAGATGGAGCCCAAAATGAGCAAACTTGCCTTTGGGTGTCAGAGAAGTTCCACGTCCGATGACGACTCTGGCTGTGCGCTGGAGGAGTATGCCTGGGTGCCCCCGGGCCTTCGACCTGAACAGGTAGGAGGAACCTGGGCACTATGTTTTGTATCTGTTTTAGAAAAATGATTCTGCTTTGTGAGGACTTACTTGCCTTTTAGATGAAATTTTTCTATTTCCTTTGTACTCCTGAAGCCAGGAGCCCTGTGATGAGACTGGTCTCGTCCTAATCGGTCGAGTCTTGAGCCCTACATGCATGAGTGATGTGTTTGTGTGGAGAGGAATTTAACCTTTTTAAAACTTAAAAGAACAACCAAAGGGGAGGAAAGGGCAATAATAAAAGAAACTTCCTAGACAGCTTCTCATAGTGCATCAGATCTCCAGAGCTGCACTAAGTAAAGTGCTATGACTTAGAAATCTGACGTTTTGATAACTGTGTATATAAAAGAGTACTGTCACTATATAATGTGGGAAAAAAGTATAGAAAGTTCATTTTGTGTTTCATTTGTATTACTTTTAAGGGAGGATGAGAGCTTATGTCCAGGCCTGTCCTTTTCCCCCCCAAATCCTTGTACTGTAACGGTGAAAATGGTAGGGCATGTTTTGCATTGTCTTTAATGTCTGTTGATTAAGTACAGGCAAAGTCAGAGTTTCAAATAAAAGTTGACAGTTGGGTGTATGATGGTGTCGGTGTTTTGGTGCAGCTTGCACGTGGTGGGAGCTACTTTAGGAATTATTGTTAGCTGTCTGCATAGTGGTCCCCATCTCATGGCAACCAGCCCCCAGCTCAGTGGAAGGAGATGCTTGCCTGATCCTGAGCCATCTGCATGATGGGTGGTAGAAGGCTTTCATGGACTCATTTTCAAAGATAGATCACCAGGCCTTTCTTCCTCGTCTGCTGAAATCTATTCTGCTTCACAGCAGTATGCAGGCCTGCACTGAAAGGTGGATCAGAGGCTGCACACATGGCACGTTGTGATAGTTGAGCCAAAAAGTAATTCTGCCACTGAACCCCTCGCACGCACTGCCTACTCCTCTTTGAGAGTATAGTTCTTTACTTACCTATGTGTACAGGTTCAGTAAATACTTATAACTGCGTGCATAGTTTACATAGCTGACAGAATGGGAGTGAGAAGTCCTGGTATAGCAGTTAGGAAGACAGTTTTGACCAAGTACTTAACTGACTAGGAGAAAAGGCCTGAGGATGGTAGGGTTTGTGTCATACTGAGATACTGAAGCAGACAGGCCTCCAGTTCTTTAATCTTCTAACTTTTTTCCTTCAGTCACTTTCATTTTTTTAGTCCATAGCATTGCCATATTCTTTACAGTGCTCATAAGGGGGATGTGCCTTTAAATACAACAGGAAGAAAACCCTTTTTAAAAAAATTCTCTTTTCAAATTGGACCAAATACAACTGTGCATGGCTCCTCTCCCATTTCCTTGGGGAAGTGGACTAGGGTATTTAGAAAACAACACCCATAGAAGCAAGGAAAGCCGATGCTTGAGAGAACCTGATAAGGGAGAGTTTACAGAGTTTAACAAAACAGCTTTTGTCTCTGTAAAGTGTAAAATTCAGAGAGCCAATTGGCCATGTTTATGGAATGGCTGGGTTTTGGACAGTGCTGCACAGCCTGTGTGGTCATTTCTAGAATCCACCCAGGACACTAGGCTCTTACGTTGGCTGACCCTTTAGAAAACTGGCTGAGGAATAAAAGCATTAAATGTGCATATTTCATGGTGCATAATTTACGATGCCTTTAATTGTCTCTACAGATTACATTCCTGAAGAGCAGTTTCGCAGCTGGGTGCTGGTTATCTGAAGGGTTACAGTGCTGCAGAGTTAGCTCAGCTGGTCTTCTCATTAGTTACAAGGAGCTGAATCCTGTCAGAGGCCAAATCTTTGGACCTAGAAGGAAAAGTCACTTTTTAAAGAGATTGTCTCAGCCCAAGTGCTCTGTTTCTGTATGCTGATGTCATTTTCCACGTCTCTTACCCAGATCCAGCTTTATTTTGCTTGCCTACCAGAGGAAAAGGTTCCTTATGTTAATAGTCCTGGAGAGAAACATCGGATTAAACAGCTTTTGTACCAGTTGCCACCACATGATAATGAGGTAAACTACCAGGAAGAAAGTAAACTTAGAAAAAAGAGATAATGTACAGACATGGAGATGCTGCTCATAAACCACATGGATTAAGACTCTTTCTCTTGCCTTTTTTAGTTAAAATTTGGCTGGAGGATACAGCCTTTCATTAAGGAAAGAGGGTGTTAGTGCCATAAACTTAACACAAGTTGGATTTTATAGTGCTTGCAGCCACCCACCATCATCAGGAGCCCACAAAGTCTTGGGATTTCACTGCCCCTGCAAACAGGGTTCCTGCTTTATGGGAGGGAGGTCTGCAGATGGAGTGGCTGCCTGTAGAATTTCGAGTGGAAGTGTCGTTTACCACGTTCCTACACTTCTGTGGAAAGGTTGCTTTACAGCGGTTTTAATATGTCTGTTGATGAAGATTTAAATGAATCCTTTTTTATTTTTTACAAAACCCAATTATTCCTTCAAAGTGCTATTTCCAGCAGAATTTCCATTTTGCTAGAGAGGCTTCACACTTGGGGAAAGGTGTCTCATTAAAGTCAGGGTTTGGGAGACAGGCCAGCTGAACCTGGTGTCGTCCTCTCTGGGCAGGTGCGGTATTGCCAGTCTTTGAGTGAAGAAGAAAAGAAGGAGTTGCAAGTGTTCAGTGCACAGCGGAAGAAAGAAGCACTTGGAAGAGGAACCATTAAGTTGCTGTCCCGCGCGGTGATGCACGCCATCTGTGAGCAGGTAATGTGTCGGATGGGCAATGCATGACAGTGGCACAAATAGCATTGTGGGTGTGGGACTGGAACAGACATAAGCTTTAAGTCTAAAAAAATGAAAGGCCAGTCTAGTTGCATATTATTATGGATTGATCTCGGTAATGGTCTCAATTGCTGTCATGCTTCTGCCTTTCTATAAAGTAAACTCAGGACAAAAACCTTGTCTTTTGTGGGATCCTGGCCGAGCAGGAGGTGCTAGAATACACCTGGTTATTAAAAGTGCATAATGAAGACATTTACACCCTTATTGGCAGTTCTCAGAGGAGAAAAACATGCTCAGAAAAACAGCTGTTGAATGTGAATCTTAGGAAACTGTGATGCGTCATCATACACCTGAGACATGCGCACTGCAGCCGAGAGCCACAAATAAGGCAGCGTTGAGACATTTCAGCATTAACAGGAGGGGGACAAAACGAAAGTAGTCATGACACATGTGAGATTTAGAGTAAAGTTGGTAAGGCTGAGATAATCTTAACATTTAAGAAGGATTATTTTAACTCTGCATCCCTATTTTTGGTTTTCAGTGTGGGTTGAAGATAAATGGAGGTGAAATTGCTGTGTTTGCCTCTCGCGCCGGCCCTGGCGTGTGCTGGCACCCATCCTGTTTTGTCTGCTTCACGTGTAATGAGCTGCTGGTCGACCTCATCTATTTTTATCAGGATGGAAAAATTCACTGTGGCAGGCACCATGCTGAACTGCTCAAACCACGGTGCTCAGCATGTGACGAGGTAAAAAAGTTCATCTCCTGACACTGGAAAAAATGAACTTTCAGCTAGCCAATATTCCACTGTTCAGATCTAAGCAAAACATAAACATCTCTTGGTTTTGGCCCTATATGTAGATTTTTAAGATAACCCTTGCTCTTTCATTTGATGGAATAATACTTAGCTAATAAAGAAAAGGCAGGTGACTTTGTGCATTGCCACATTTGATGTCTTTAATGCATTGCTAGAGAAAAAAATAAGTTGTAGATCTTGTTTTTATTAAATAAAAAGAACAGAACCCATATTTGTACATGAGCAGAAAAAGATGGAAAGACATATGCAGAGATTTTCTGCATATTCTTCTCCCTGCTTCCCTAATGTCAGTACCTTACACATCATGCACACTTATAAAAATTAAGAAATTAATATTGATATTATATCATTAACTACAGAATGTGATTTTTCCAGTTTTTCTGCTAATCTCCTTTCTATTCCAAGACTCCACTTTGTTTATTCACCATGTCTTCTTCATTCACATTCATTGCCATCGAGTCAGAACTGACTCACAGCTCCAGGAGGTTTTTGGAGGCTGTAAGTTGCATGGAAGGCAATTGCTCATCTTTCTCCATAAGGCTACTGGTGGGTTTGAACTACCCAAAAAGCATTTGGGTTTTGACTAAATCTATAACTGTTAGCAAGTTAATTTGTACGCTGGGCTCTTGGACTAGAAGATTAATGTTTGTGGACAGTTGAGTGGCTAGATTGTGTTAAAAAATACTATTGGGGTTTGCTTTGTGAATTTGTAATTCACTATGGATTAGGCCACCAGCACCCCCTCATGTCTCTTTGTTGTTGTTGTTAATTGCAGTAGAGTCAGAGCTGGCTCATAGCTGGCCGTTCAGGGGGTTTCAGAGATGGTAAATCACATGGGAGGAGATTGCCCATCTTTCTCCCGAGGAGCATCTCATGGATTCAGATTGTGAGCCTTTGGGGTAGCAGCATAACTCCTTACTACTAAGCCACCAGAGCTCCCCTAGGTTTTAGTTTTATACCATTCTTGATTTAAAAAATAAAAATAAAAAGACTCTCTTTGAAACATTTTATAAGCCAAAAATTAAAAATCTGTAATCTAGATATGCTGATAGGTTGGATGAAACACACAGTGCTGGTCATACAATGTACAGCTAAGATTATGTTGAAGCATTCTTTGCCAGGTTATGCTAATTGAGGACTACTGAGTAGTGGCCAAATGAATGTGCTCCGGTGTAGAAATGGGTTTTCTTTTTAAAAGTTTATGTGGGCACTTAGATTCCCTTTTTTGACATTGTCAGTTTCAGCTCTTGGTTTGGAACTAAAGGAAATTAGATTACAGCTTGTGGCCGAATATGAAACAAAGATAGCTGAGGACTCCATGCGTTTAAGAGCTAGTGTGTCTTGTCAGCTGGTCAGAAAACACATGGTTACTAGGCCATCAATAATAGCTCACAGCTATTATTTTCTTTCATGTTTTTAAAGATCATTTTCGCTGATGAGTGCACAGAAGCTGAGGGCCGCCACTGGCACATGAAACACTTCTGCTGCCTCGAGTGTGAGACGGTGCTGGGAGGACAGAGGTACATCATGAAGGATGGCCGCCCATTCTGCTGTGGCTGTTTCGAGTCTCTCTATGCGGAATACTGTGAAACCTGTGGGGAACACATTGGTAAGTGACCACAGCCTTTCTGCTTCCTCACGTAGCTGGTAGTCTATCAGTGATCATCTGTGGTTTTATTTTTTATGTATTTTCTTTTTTCCTGTTGAGATATGATTGATATACATTGAAGTGCCCAGATGGTAAACGTTTCCATTGTTTTTCATTACTTGCAGTAGTTAGGTTTTACTGAGATAGTGGTGGTTTAGTGGAAGAATTCTCTCACCTGCTAGGCAGGAAAACTGGGTGTGATTCCCAGTCAGTGCACTTTATGCACGGTCACTCCCTGTCAGTGGAAGCCAGCATCCCTGCTGTGCCACTGACCAGGCTTCAGCAGTCTCTAGACTGATACAAGCTTCTGAAAATTGGCCAGTGAAAACCCTGCAGGTCGTGATGGTCTACTCCCATTAAGCATGGGGTCACCATGAGCCGGGGAGCGAGCATTCAACAGCAACATGTTTTCGTTAAAGAATTCTAAACCACCCTGAGTTGACTGTGCTGGGACTGTGGACCGTCATATTGTGAGTGACTATGAAAGTTCCATAGTATTGACTTTTCAGTTAAAAAGAAATTTTAGCAAGTAGTCAGACTCACAAATAGGGATTCTTGTGAAGAAGAGGACTTGACAATACCTGTGTTAGTCACCACCCTCATCAATATACAGGATTTTCATCACCCAGAAATTTCCCTCACACCCTTATTCCCCGTCTGTGTTTCTTCCTGAACTACAGGTGTCGATCACGCCCAGATGACCTATGATGGGCAGCACTGGCACGCGACAGAAGCATGCTTTTCTTGTGCCCAGTGTAAAGCCTCTCTGTTGGGATGTCCCTTCCTTCCAAAACAAGGCCAGATTTACTGTTCCAAAACCTGCAGCCTTGGTGAAGATGTCCATGCTTCTGACTCCTCCGACTCGGCTTTCCAGTCAGCTCGCTCGAGGGACTCCAGGAGAAGCGTCCGAATGGGCAAGAGCAGTCGCTCGGCAGATCAGTGCAGGCAGTCCCTGCTCCTGTCCCCTGCCCTCAACTACAAGTTCCCTGGCCTATTGGGCAGTGCGGATGACACCCTTTCTCGGAAATTGGATGATTTGAGTCTTACCAGGCAAGGGGCAAGCTTTGTCAATGAAGAATTTTGGAAAGGCAGGGTAGAGCACGAAACCCCAGAAGACCTCGAAGAATGGGCCGAGCATGAAGATTACATGACCCAGCTTCTCCTCAAGTTTGGTGATAAAAGCCTCTTTCAGCAGCAGTCCAATGAATTGGATATTCGAGCTAGTGAGCACTGGATATCTGATAACATGGTTAAAAATAAGGCTGAGCTAAAGCAAAATAACCAGAGCCTGGCAAGTAAAAAATACCAATCTGATATGTATTGGGCACAGTCCCAGGATGGACTGGGTGATTCTGCTTATGGCAGCCACCCGGGCCCTGCTAGCAGTCGAAGGCTCCAGGAATTGGATCTGGACCACGGGGCTTCGGGATATAATCACGATCAGACGCAGTGGTATGAAGATTCCCTGGAGTGTTTGTCAGACTTGAAGCCAGAACAAAGTGTCCGGGATTCTATGGATTCCTTGGCTTTATCAAATATCACAGGTACGTAATCCAGGGATTATGGAGCATTTGAACAAGGAAGCACTAAAGTGTGTACTGAGAAAATGACAGTTCAGTGCCAATAGGGGTATTACTTAAAACTATAAACCATGGGAAGTAATAGTTTTTTAATTAAAAGTCAGACACATTCAGCCTGCCAAGGATTAGTGCAGGATAAGGCACAGTTTCAACGTGTTGTGCGTAGGGTCACTATGAGTCATTTTGACTCATTGCAGTCAACAAAACCTTATGGGTAAGTACTGACCCTATTTTAAAGAAGAAATCCGATTTTAAAAATTTATTAAAATCAGAGAGCACGGGATTTGAACCCAGGGATGATTTTTCTGCAGGTTATAGAAATAATGCACCTTAGCTATGTTCAGTTGTTGTGGTTGTTGTTATGTTTTTTGATTTTGTTATATGAATTGAAAGATACTGAAATCAGCCTGAACACTTTATAAGCTCATGGCATTCTTCACATATTCTTAAAAATACCTAAATACATTTTCCTTGACTTATAAAATAATTTCACTTGAAGATTTTCAAAGCACATTGATATCAGTTATCCAGAGTTTATCTTAAAATCCCTGACCTGTATAGAATGGATGATACTCCATCTTATAAATGAGGAAATTTGAATTACCAGGTCAACCTGTCCAACCTTACAGAGTTTTAGAGATAAGATAGGACCTAGAACCTAGCTTTGCTGGATCTCATTTGTGATAAGTCTTTGGATACAGAGATGTTGCTGTTAACAAGGCTAGTCTTGTGGTCTAAATAATGAGATCCTATGCCCTCAAAGTTTGTTAATTATACATAGACAGGCTTAGAGGCTGCCCACTACCAAAAAGAGCCTTCTGCTAGATGCTGCTGTTCAAGGAGAAGACAAAAGCTACCTTCCCAGCTTCTAAGGATTTCTCAGTAGAGATAAGTCACTCAAATTAAGTTATTTTAATATCTCTTTGCGCAAGCCACTATGTTAGATACCTTACTTAACAGGTGATACTAATACAAGACATAATTTGGCATACAGTTTTTTGGGTGGGGTTGGGGGTTTTTAAAAAATTTTTCTTTTTTTAAAGTATTTGTGCGTGTGTGTGTGTGTGTGTACCATCAAATCAGATCTGACAGGTACAGGAGGAGATTGTTCTTCCTTCTCCAGCAGAGCATATGGTGGCTTCAAACAACGCACCTCAGGGATTGTAGTGCAGCTTTTTGCCACTAGGCCACCTGAGCTCGCCTTGGTATACATTTTAAGTTTCTTTATAATGAATACACTGAAAACCAGACTCCTTTTAGAATACACTATAACTTCTTCACAGCTCTCCCTTTATTGAGCTTTATTTTATTGAGATAAACTCATTTACCTGGATCCTGGTATAAGCAAAGGAAAAACATTTAGCACTTAGGAGAACAATTTTAAAGATAAAATTAATCTAGTAGTGGTATATATTGTGGGTTGAAAGGGGAGAGTACTAGATGAAGGGAAGCCAGTATAATGTTGTGTCAGGTTTTGTGAACTACTTTTCATAAAGGGCCACATAGGGAGCCATGCTGTTGAACCTATTCAGCTCTGCTGCTGTCACAACCAACTCATAACACATGGGTATGGCTGTGTTCTAATAAAACTTTATGCAAAACTAACTTCAGGCTGGATTTGGACCTAGAGTATGCTTTCCTAGCCGTTGGTTTAGGTAGAAGATGAAGAGGACTTGACTATAAATGGTGACTGGACTGAAAAATAAAACAGGACAGGGCAATGTGAGAGATGTCCAAATGACAGTGCAGCGTTAATAGATGGAGGGGCAAAGCTTCTCCACCTCATGTTAATAAAGGGACTGAGATCTGGGGGATAGGGAGTTGGCACTGCTAACCCAACAGCGATGGTTTGAATCCACCAACTGCTCTACAGGAGAAAGGCAGGCTGCCTCTGAAAACTCACTGAAGGGTCAGTTGTGAGATGGTTGTGACTCAGTGGCAATGAGTTTATAGTGTATTTTTCCTCCTAGAAAGAGCTTTAAAATGTTACTGCTCAACCATGCTATCCCAACCTTCAGTTCCTAGATAGCTGGTCGAATAAAAGAGGTTGTGCCCCTTGTACTGATATTAAAATTCTGTTAGTGTATTTGCACAGTAGTTTCCCCTCGAGAGTATTCATCAGATTCTAGAAGTCTGGGAATTACTTTCTTTGGGAAGCTTCCTTTTTTCAGTAGTCTGTTGTGATCACTGTTAGACTACAAACATACCAGGATTGAGAATCACATCTTTCCTGTCTTCTCTTCTAGGGGCGTCAGTGGATGGGGAAAGTAAGCCACGGCCATCACTATACTCTCTGCAAAACTTTGAAGAAATGGAAACTGAAGATTGTGAAAAAATGAGCAATATGGGAACTTTGAACTCATCAATGCTACACAGGAGTGCAGAATCCTTGAAGAGTCTCAGTTCAGAGCTGTGTCCAGAAAAAATCATGCCTGAAGAGAAACCAGTGCACCTGCCAGTACTGAGAAGATCCAAGTCCCAGTCTAGACCCCAGCAGGTCAAGTTCTCGGATGACGTCATTGACAACGGAAACTATGACAACATCGAGATCCGCCAGCCTCCCATGAGCGAAAGGACTCGCAGGCGGGTCTACCATTTTGAAGAGAGGGGATCCAGGCCTCACCACCACCATCGCCGCAGGAGAAGTAGAAAGTCTCGCTCAGACAATGCCCTGAATCTTGTTACGGAAAGGAAATTCTCCCCTAAGGACAGACTGCTGCGGCTTTACACCCCAGATAATTACGAGAAATTTATACAGAATCAAAGCGCCCGGGAGATCCAGGCATCCCTCCAGAATGCTGACCTTTATGGACAGTACGCCCATGCCACTTCCGACTATGCACTTCAGAACCCAGGGTTGAACAGGTTTCTAGGACTCTACGGTGACGACGACGACTCCTGGTGTTCCTCCTCCTCCTCCTCTTCCGATTCAGAAGAAGAAGGCTACTTTCTCGGACAGCCCATCCCTCAGCCACGGCCGCAGAGATACGCCTACTATACAGATGACCTTTCCAGTCCACCGTCTGCACTCCCCACCCCTCAGTTTGGTCAGAGGACAACAAAATCCAAGAAGAAAAAGGGACACAAGGGCAAAAACTGTATTATCTCCTAAAACTAGTAGCTGTTCCAGTGTAGCCAGTAACCATCTGAGTCATAACCTTTTTTCCTTCCATAGGAGAGTTGCTAAAGTAGTTTGAAGTGCTTTCTTTGCCCTTGTAAATGAGAACCCGACTGCTGTTTACAGTGTCAGATTATCGCTTGGAAGGTGCGCTTTCTCCAGCTTGCCCTCCTTGGATGTTGCCAGGTGTACGTGGCATCTTGTACTGTTTGGGGTACATTACAGTTTTATATAGCTGCTTCGGTCTCCACTCCTCAGGAGAATATACTTAAGAAACTGTGGCAGGGTGAATGAATGAGGGCGTTGATCCTAGAAGACAGAGAACTCCAGCCACCTTTGTAAAGCAGTAGTGTTTGTCATTGCGCTTCGTCGAGTTGGCGTGGGTCCCGATGGCTCTGTCTTGTGAGGCATGCACATAGTTACACTGACCTAGCTAACACTGTGCATCAGGTTGTGCCAGGCCAACTTCTCCCCTGTCCGCCCTCGTTAGCCAGCTCCAAAATACTCCCCCTGAGGAGTCCTGGCTCCAGCTACACATTAAAAAAAAACACAAAAAAACAAAATTGCTATTTATAATGTAGTATTTCATAGACTTAAGTGTATTCCTAATTTAACGGTGCAAATATTAGTGTACATACTGTACAGTTGAGATTTTAAAGCTGTTATTTTTATATCCCTGAATTGCAAGCCGTTTGTTATACTGCAGTACTAGATTTGTTAGGGACCCAGAAACCGCATTTATGGATGAAACGATTGCTTGTATTTTAGCCAGGGTTTATAAACTTAAGACGGTCAAATTTATATTGCCTAGTGATGGAAAGTTCAGTTTTTTGGTTTGTTTTCAATACTAAAAAGGCTCTGTATGCATGGTGGGGCTATGTAAATATTCTTTAAAACTATGGCCCTGTTAATCTTACAAGTGTTATTTATGGGTCAAGAAATGTAAACTGTATAGATGTAAAAACAAAACAAAAAAAAATCCCCCACATGTACCCCTGGAATATATGGTTAAAACAAGTATAAACTGTTTGGGTGAATGGTTTTTCTCTCCCTTTGGGGCTAGGGGTACCTTTTCCCTTTGTACAAGGTGGTGATTATCTCCTGGCAGAAGGGAAGAGCCGAGAAATTCAAGTATCTGCTCCTTGTAGCCGAGGTACTTTGTAGATGCATTATGTGGGGAAAGGTATTCTTTTTAATCTCTCCCAGCTAATTTGCTGGCCTTTTATAGCAATCTGGAAAATTGACTCTTCTGGTTGTTTTTCTTTTAAAACCTTTAAATTAAAAGATGCTGTGCCATTGCTTTTCACTATTAAATACAAGGTTCTAAGATCAAGGAAAAACTGTTAGATTTGAACTGATGAGTTTATATTTTGATATGTGCCATTCTTGCACATCATGTTTCAGTACTAACTAAAGGTCCTAGTGACATATCGGGACCTCTAGGGAGGTATTTAAATAAACGCTTAACAAATAAAAATAAACTACATTCCTGAATACAGGTCTCTGCAGATACATGCAGGTAACTTCCATTTGCTGTCTATATATGATTTTTTCACAGTGCCCAGTTGCTATCACTAGCCAACTATCATTTGACTCTTGGGTCAAATATCTACATCTCGACAAGTAGGTAGGACATAAAACCCCCCAAACCAAACACTTTGTTGTCAAATGGATTCTAACTGACAGCAACTGCAGGACAGAGGACAGAGTAGAATGTCCCTATCGGGTTTCCAAGGCTTTAAGCAGTCTTGGCTGCCACATCCTCCTCCCCTGGAGTAGGTGGGAGAGCCAAACTGCAGACCTTTAAGTTAGCAGGAAACACTTAACCACTGTGCCACCAGGATTTCTTAGGTATGACTAAAATAAAATTCACTACTGTTTGATTAATTTCGACTCAAAGCCACCTTTTAGAACAGAGTCTTAACTGCTTCCTCGAGTTTCCAAAGCTGTCAGTCTTTATGGAAGCCGATTGCAACATCCTTCTCCCTCACAAACAGGACATACCTGGTGTCACTGAGGCAGCTCCAAAGCATAGTGACCTGCATATAATAGAATGAAAGGCAGCACCACCCAATCTTGGGTCGTCCTAACACTGTGGCTGTGTGAGCTTCCGGTGGAAGCCATGGTGTTATTTCCTCTTGTTGAGGGTGTTCGTTTCATTGACCTTTCCTTTAGAAATGGCACTGTCTTTTTCCAGGAACTTTTCCTTCTTAACATGTCCAAAGTTTGTGAGATGAAGTACGGCCCTCCTGGCTGCATTTCTTTAAATTCTTTTGGCAATTCATGTTCTTCACAAGCAACCCAAGTTCTATGCACCAGCTGTCAGGGTGACCCTATGTGTGTGTGAGTAGGATTTTCAATGGCTGAGTTTTCAGAAACTGCACTGCTTTTGAGGGGCCTCCCACGTTGCCTTTATCCACCAGTCACATCACGGTAACCATTTGCACCACCTAGAGATGCTATAGCACTTCAGACCAAGGCAAATTTGTTCATACTTCACCCAGAGCAAGGAAAAAGCTGTTAGCCCTTAGGATGGATCAGTTCTAGTAATTTAGTACAGAAGCCAGTAGGTTAGCAAACCTAAAAAGAGTAAGGCTTTGTATCTGTTCTACAGTCCTCTTTAGAAGAGCATCAGTGGTGAAAAAGTTCTGCACTCAATGATATCATTAGGTCTAGTGCATTTAAAAACATCAGCAACAAAAAGGCAATACATGCACATGGGGAATTGATCAAACAAAACAAAAGGTGAGAATGAAACTTCTCCTCTCCAATTTTAATCCCTGATCCTTGTTTCCTTCCTCAGAAGAAACTCCATTACCCATTTCTATTAAATTGTCCAGAAGATGTTGAAAACCTAGTAGAGAAATGTATTTCTTCTGAAAATAGTTAAACTATGATTTGCTTTTTAAAATCTATTTTGAAATACATATAGATTCCACAGTACAGGCCTACCTCATAGGTAGGTGCACATAGGTCTAACTTGCTTTGCATAATATTCCACTGGACATACTCTTAATTTAACCACTCAATGTGACTTCTTTTTATCCTACACTGGTGCATAGCATATCAATGACAAGAACAAAGATGTTTTAAATTGTGATAAATGTGTCAGTTTCTTCCAAAACTTCTGCTGCTTTCTATGTAAATTAGTAATTTGTTACGTTAAACTTTATGTATTAGCAAGCTCTTATTGTGAAAACCATTTCAGACCCTTGCTGAAAATCACAGGCATCCTTTTGTAAGACTTGAGCAGCGTGTTGCTTGGTGTTAGGTATAAATTGCAGGTACTACTCTTCATGGTTTTCAAGTCACTCAGAAATGCTTTCACTTCTTGAAGCAATTACCCAGGCCATCTTTTCCTTTTCTTACATAAGGGTTATACAGATTGTCAGAGATGTAAGGAAATGAAAAAATGTTTATTTACAATTACAAAACCTTCGCACTTTCAGTTTCTGGTTTTAAGTAATAGAGATGACTAGCCCTAAAAAGGAAAACAACTGCCTCACAGGTGTTATGCATTAGCCCAGAAAATAAAGGAGCTGCCAGAAGGTTTTAATAGATTTAGTTAGCAAGAGTTAAAGGTATCTAGTCAGTAACAATCTACGTTATGCAGATGACACAACCCTGCTTGCTTAAACTGAGGAGGACCTGAAGCACTTACTGCAGAGGGTCAAGGACTGCAGCCTCCAATATGGACTGAGGCTCAATGTCAAGAAGACAAAGATTCTCACCACTGGACCAATTGGCAGCTTCAGGATGGATGGTGAAGAGATTGAGAGTGTTCACAGCTTTAGTTTGCTTGGCTCCACAGCCAACATTCTTAGTACCAGTTGCCAGGAAATTAAAAGACATTGTGATGGGAAAGTCCGCTGTTAAGGGAGTTTTCCAAAGTTCTGAAGAGCAACAGTGTCTCTCTGGAGACTAAAGTGCATCTGACATAGGTCATGGTCTTTGCAATCACTTGTTATGCATCAGAGAGTTGGACAATGACTAGGGAGGATAGGAGAATTGATGCCTTTGAGCTGTGGTGCTGGAGAAGAGTATTAAGGGTACCATGGACTGCTAGGAAAAGATTCATCCTGGAGAGGGTTAAACTAGGCTGCTCCTTGGAGGCAAGGATTCTGAGGCTTCGTCTAACATACTTTGGACATGTTGTAAGGAGGGACCAGTCCTTGGAGAGGGAAATCATGCTTGGGAGGGTGGACAGACAGCACAGGAGGGGAAGGCCCTCTCAGTGACTGGGGTAATCGGGATGGGAATGTCAGAGACAATGTGACTGGCACAGGACAAAGAAGAGTATAGGGCTGTTGTACACATGGTCGCTATGAGTCGCAAGTGACTCGACACATAACAAGTCAGTAACAAAACTCTAAAATGTCTGATCTCAACATGGGTGAAAATGCATTTTCCTTGGTTCAGACCATATAACCTCCAGTTCAGCCAGGCAATGAGCATTCTGCTGGGGAACCTGATAAAGCTGTCAGCTCTTTAATGCACATGAAGATTCACTATACACTGTTCCCCACACTCTACTTTGTTTCCAAAGTTTTAAGTACTAGAAGTGAAAGGAGCAATCACTTGCTGTCTACTTGCTGTCTAACCTTTCTTCTTCGTATAGGTAACAATCATTCATGCATCTGATAAGGGTGATAGAGTTGGAATGGGTATTTGAGTCTGCCAGACTCTATGTGGCATATATCCTTGCCCAGCTTGGATCCTGGGTGACAGGACCAAAATCTTTAATATTGGATTAAATGTTGGATGTACTGACTGGGAACTATTTCAAGAATGTCCAGAGAATACACATTAACATCTTGCAGGCATACTCAAGAGCTCTGGTGATGCTGAGATTAAGCCATCTGGCTGCTAACCAAAAGGTCAGTTCAAACCCACCACCCACTCTACCAGAGAAGGATGAGGCAGTTTGCTTCAAGCTGTGGGCAGTTCAGCTTTGTCTTACAGTGTTGCCGGACTCAGATTTTTCAAAGCCAGGAGTTTGACCTTTTATAAATTTTCCCACCTTTTAAATGCTAGCAACTAATTCACTCAGATAAAATAAGCCTGTCGTCAACAAGTCTTCAACCCCTATGTGCACTGAGAATCCTGGAAGCTAATGCTCCTAGTCCTTAAGAACTATCTAATATTGGGAGGGGGGGTGCACAACTAATTACTGTTTGTATAAATAAAGTGGCCTTTTATGGATGCACAAGAAATAATAATCACAAAAAAACCCCTCCACTCAGAGCTTCATTATCAATTCAATGGTAGCAACACAATTAAGATCAAATTCTTTCTAATTAGTCAAATGAGAAAATCCCTAATTGCTTAGCTAGATGCTACAGCCATTCACAGAAGGCATGTGTCCTGTATGACCACATGGGTTTTCTGCAAACAGGGAAGCACATCAGGAGGGCTTCCAGGTAATCCAGGTCCAGGGGAGAGCAGACATCTCAGGTCACGTTTTGCCAGGGTCACTGCGTCATGTGCTCATTCCCAGGTAATGTTAATGGCTCTCAAAATAGGCTGGGAAGGAAATGTAGAGAAAAGGCAAGATACTACCGGGTATATGCAGACTTGGTCACAGAATCAAAGTTGGTTTTGTGTCTGAACATAGCCAGCTAGTGAGTATTCTCATTTTAGGCATCAACTTTAGCCTCAACTTTCCTTTCTGCAAAAGCAACTTTATATTTCTGCTGCTGTACAGATAAGCACAAGATGCTATTGTGCCAGCATCAGAAGTAACTTGCAACACATTCTACAAGCATCTGGTTCCAGAAAATGTATTACTAACAGTAATATGAAGCCAGTTCTATTAAATAGCAGTAATTTTGTGGTTTTAGATCACTAAGCCAAGCAGGTGGCATTGGAAAAGACAATTTCTGATTTAAAATCCACCAACAGTCAGGAGAGCAGGAAACATCCTACACTGGGCAAGTCTGCAGTCAGGGACCTCTCCAAATAATTGAGGAGCTATGATGTTAGTTTGAGGACTAAGGTGCTCCTTATTCATGGTCTTTTCAATCACTTGCTGAGGGCCATACCCTGAATAAGAATGACAGAGGAAGAATTGAAGACTTTGAACTGTGGCATTGGAGAAGAGTACTATCCAATAGTCAGTACTACCAAAAGAACAAACAGATATGTCTTGGAGATGGTGCAGCCAGATTGCTCCTTGGAGGCAAAGATGATTAAACTTGGCGCATGTTGCAAGGAGAGTCGACTCCCTAGAGAAGGGCTCAAGTGTGTCAGAGGCTGTGAGAACAACACAAGATAGGACAGAGTTCAGAGCTGTTGTTCACAGGGCCACTGTAAGTCATACTCAACAATACCTAACAGCAGCAAAAACAACAGCACAGCAGACATTATTGTTTCATTCAAGATGGCCAATGTTGGCCCATTTCAGCCATTCTCTTCTCAATTGCTTGATATGCATCTGAAAGTTGGCCTAAAGACTGGTCTCTCCTGACAACTGGCCCAAAATATGTGCAACAGAGTTTCAAAATCCTTGCTCCAAGGAGCAACCTGGTTTCACCCTTTACAGGACAGATCTGTTCTCTTGGCAGTCCATGGAATGGTTCAATACGCTCCTCTAGCACCACAACTCAAAGGCATCAATTCTTCCTTTGTTATTCTTAGTCACTGTCCAGCTCTCAAATGCACAGAAAGTAACTGAGAAGACCCCAGCCTTGATCAGGTGCACCTGAGTCTATAGACTGACATCCTTGTTCTTTGTGTTGATTGTGGATCTGAGTAAACTGAAATAATTAACAATCTCAATCTCTTCTCCACCTATCATGATGGTAACAATTGGCCCAGTGGTAAGAATCTTTGTTTTCTTGGTGACTAGAAGCCTGAGCGGGAGATGAAGAGGGGTGCTGGTGAGGCACAGACACAGGACTACAACACACATGCCAACATGGGGTACCAACAATGAATCTATCAGTTTTATAATAGGGATCTTTCATATACCTTTTTGGCTAAAATGCTTATCTGTCAAATATACCAAATGTGAGCACCCAAATTCAGACAGACTAGGATGAAGGACTGGCCATCTACTTCCGAAAAAACAGGCCTTTGAAACCTTATGAACAACAGAAATAACATTAGACTTCAGAGATTAAGATCCTCTAAATCACCAGTTTGTTTTTTGTGGTGGGTTTGTTTTGTTTTTGTTTGTTTTTTACTACACAGTTAATTCTGCCTCGTGGCAACTTTTCATCAGTTTCCTAGCCCAGAAATCTTAAGTGAAGGAGAGTGCCCCATCTTCCTCCCACTGAGGTTCACAATGCCATCCTGTCCATGACCCGGCTGAACATTTAACTTACTATGTTCCTTGACAAACTTTCTCAGTGTTTCTTAATTCTCACCCTTCCTTGTGTCTTGCTGCTGAGTAGGCGAACTGAATACTAAAACGTACTCCGACAATAAAGTAGTGATGTATATATATTGACAAAACATAAAACATAGTAAGCCTGCTGAAATAAGAGAAAAGACAATCTGATTACTTAAATCTGCTTGTTTTATTTTGCACTTTTAACAGTCACAAAAAGCTTCACAATATTGGCTTACCCCTGTTGATCATCAAGGCTTTATGGAACAACAATGAAAATCAACTAGGGAGACTGTGCAAAGCAACAGATAATTTACAAACAAATTCCTAGAATCAAGAACATTTTGCAAAATAAGCACTCTGGAATGCAACAGAACTTATCTATGCTAAATTAAGACTTTAAAACAAAACAAATTTAACACTGACAGGACTACAAACATATAGCTTTACATACTGAATATACCTTGCAGGACGTGTAAAGAAGAAATGCTCTGTTGACTCTATATTTAAACACGTATGATATTAGCAGGACTTTTCTATTGCATTTCAGAAAATTTAACAACTCCTTTTTCTCTTTAAAAGAATTTCAAATTTTATTTTGAAAATTGTGACTTCTTGACTAAGGGAAAAAATCATGTAATTAGTATATTTTAAGAGAAACGTGTGGGGGTTACATAGGAAGAATAGTATTTTATTAGTCTTTTTCTAAAGTATGTAACAGACTGTTCCTATGAGGTAAGAATATCAGAGATGACATATAGGATATGATTTAGTCTTCTGCTTTATATAAGTTAGATAAATGCAACATCTAAATAGAAAAAAATTAAAAATCAAGGTGGTCTAATTAAAGGTAGAAACTTTAAAAAAATATACTTGTCCTCCTCAGTTTTTAAATTTGTGGAATGGCTGAAAAAGAACCATCCATTACAGGGCTGTTAAGATTATGTATACTGCTATTTATACTTTTAATATAATGCCCCCCCCTACTCTGGGGTAGCTACTATCAAATAGAGAACACTAAAATTAACATTAGAATTCAAGTGCAGAGAGAATGAAAATGGAAAGAGGATGGGAGGATAATGAAATTAGGTAATAACAGCAAACATGATTTTTAAGGTTTTCTCATTAACTGATGCCATAAAATTATATATTTCGGCTAAGTACCACTGCCCTGCTGGAAGTGATTAGGAAATTAGTGGAATATCCTAATCTTCCCAATGAGATTCTTAACTAACCCGTGATTTGGACAGCTCACTCATGAAGTACTTTTTACATAGAGTGCTGGTCAAGGGATAAACTACCTCAGGTTTATTGCCTCTTCTGCTTTGTTACTTTCAAGAACAATTTTGTTTTTTTTAAAGAACAATTTTTAAGGGCTAAGGACCTCTAAAAAGAGCAGCAGAATAAAGGGAATTCATTGGACTATAAGCCGACGAGGAAACAACTTACTAATGCTTTAATCTTGGATGACCATATTATCAATTATGTTATTTTTTTCAGAGGAATATGGACTTGTAGAAAAAAGAATACTCTCAGTCTGTAAATTTTTCTTTCTCAATTAAGTTTTCCTAAAAACCTAAACCTCATCTTTTACCTCAAATTAAACTTGTATATAATATTAAGTGGGCTCACACCTTAGTGAGCATTATCAGCAAGACATGGGGTAAATTTAGTGGTGGTGGGAGATTCTATAATGACATGTCTTTGACAGATTTAAATGCTCTCATTGTAACACTCTTTGAGAATCCTAAAAGTAAATCTTTTCTGAGATAACAAAATCTTTATTTGGACCGTATATATTAACATTAAAAGCTGCAACACTTAAGCAAGCAATCAATAAAATCAGAATTCTAACATTTTCACATGGTAATGTTTACTATGAAATTAAAAAAAAATAAAAATAAAAATAAAAAACCCAATCCAAAAGTAACTACTGATGTTTAAGTGGAATGATCTCTAAGTCACATACCTGTGACCAATCATGTACTTGTGAAAGATTATAGGACATGAGTGAGTATACAGAAAACTGTTTTCCAGGACTGCTTTTTCCAAAGTTAAGAAATTAAATGACACATCATTTTTATTTTTATTTTTTTTGGAGGGGGGAAGACAGATTAAGAGGCTCTACATGTAGATTTTTTTAAATCTCATTAAAATATCTTAAGCTATTTTAGATGTTTATTTGGTAGTAGAAATGTAGTCAACTATCATAAAGCATTTCTCTTCATCACAAAAACTCCATATATTAAGGATTTATGTAACCAAGAAGAGAGGGATGGGAAAAAATTTTGGAAATATTCTCTTGCCTGAGGCAAGAAATCTTCTAAAAAGGCTCTCCAAATTCTTGACTAGAAGTGTCATATTCTGCAATGAAATGCTTGAGTTCTTCAACACACCGCTCACCTATTTCATGTAAATTCTGCCTCAAGGCAAACTGTATAGACTTTTCTAATGAAGGATCTTTCTCAATCAGCATTTTCACCACCATCCCGAACGTTTCACAGTCTTGTCGGTAAACCTGGAAATGTGAAATACATTCTGGTTAACTAAGAGTGAAAATCATCAGCCAAACACCTACTTAGCTAACTGCTGACTTATGATGCTGACGTCTATAAAGAAGATACAATGCAGCCAAATCTCTCTCTTCAACTACAGGCCACTCTTGTCAGAGGACATTATGAAATCTGTTCTCTTTTGAGATTTGGCATACTTCGTAGGGAGGTGTGCTGCTAGCACACACAAAGACCACAATTCTTTGGCAGTTCAAATCTACCAGTGCCTTCGTGGGAGAAAGATGAGCAAACTCCTCCCACTGACATTTACAGCCTCTAAACCTAGTGGAAGGTCTGCTATCAATCAGTTTTGACTCAATGGCAATCAATAAATATGGAAACATTCATATACCACATAACTGACTACAGAAGGATTGGTATGCCATTTGTCAGCATCAGGCAATCTCTTAAAAGGACTGCAGGCCAGAGGCAAGAAGAATGAAGAAAGAAAAAAAAAATGATGGCATGGGAAACCACATCAATGGCTGTGTTGCATTTATTTGTTTGAAAAGAAAAAACGAAAAAATCTGAGTCCTGTTTGACAGATGAAGTTATCTACCTGGGAAGAGAGAGAGAGAGTCAAGTTTATAAATAGCTAGCCATGACAAAAGCAACAAAAGGAGTCCTAGTGGAACAGTGGGTAAAGTACTTGAATGCCAACTAAATGTAAGTGGTCCATGCCCACTAGGCAGCTGCTCTTTGGAAGAAAGATGTGGCGGCTTGAAATCTGAATAAGGGAACTAGTCTAGTGTGTAGGACCACTTTATGTTGGAAATTATTCAGAAGCAATGATTTTTTTTTCTTTTTCAAATGCCACTTAGGTAGAGTTAAGACAAACAATGCCTCTATCTTCTTTGAGTTTTTTAAATAAAATTTTTAAATTGTATTGGTTTACTTTCAAATCAATATACATTGTTTTTCACACCAGATCTTTCCCATTTCCTTTACCAACCCTGACCCCTCCACCCTTAAAGTTATATGACCCTATAATTAACTATCGTCATCACCACTCTGCTCCCTCTCTCCTCCCTTTGGATCCTCACACATTCTACAAGAGAGTATTGATTCTTATAGGACTGAGTTAGTTCACTTAGTTAGCATAATGTTCCCCAGTCCTTCCCGAGTTAGGTAGTGATTTACGAGATCATTGCTCCTGCATGCTGTGTAGTATTCCATCATATGAATATACCATAATATCTCAATCCATTCAATTATGGCTGTTTCCATGTTCCTAAAATGGCAAATAACGCTGCTATGAACATTAGTGTACAAGTCTCTATGACTCAATTCTCATTTTTCTCAGGGTATATTCCAAGCAATGGAACAGCTGGGTCATAAAGAACTTCTGTCCAGCTTTCTGAGGAAATGCGAAACTGCCTTCCAGAGAGGTTGTACCATTTTACAATCCCACCAACACTCTAAAAATTTTAGAGTTCCTATCTTGCCACATCCTCTCCAGCATTTAGTGCTTGCTGTCCTGTTAAACTGTGCCACTTCTACTGGAGTGAGATGGTATCTCATTGTGGGGGTTTTTTTTTGTTTTTTGTTTTTGTTTTTGTTTTTTTCATCTGCCAGTGATTTTGAGCATTTCTTTATGTGTCTGTTGGCCATCAAAACTCCTTACTCCAGCGCGAGGGCGACGCAGCGCGAGGGCGACGCAGCGCGAGGGCGACGCAGCGCGAGGGCGACGCAGCGCGAGGGCGACGCA